CATTTCGAGTCACACTTTGAGTGGTCCTGTGTGTGGTGTATCTCAATGGTGCCAAACAGGCAGTGTCATATTAGTGCTGCTTATAAAAGGAAAGTTTTCCGAGCCACGGAGTCGTTGTCCAACGTACAGACCGGGCGGGAATTTGGAGTGAACGAAAACAATTCGGGAATTTTGATTGCGTGCTTTTTTACGAAGTGCTGCACATTCAATGTGCTTGATGGCACCGAGAATTGCGCACTGTTTGAAGACTGCGACAAAGAAGTCAGCGACAACGACTTGGAATGAGCGCGACAGCTTTATGATGCAAATAACTAGAAGCAGCGCAAAAAAAAAAAAAAAAAAGAATGACGACAGAGAAACACAACAGGACTAGCGACTGTGTGTTTCTCAAGTAATTTGCACCATGAACCGACTGCTTTATTTCACCTTCATGTTCAATAAATGTTCTCTCTTTGTGAAAGCTGTCCTTGCTGTTTTGTTCGGCCTAGGTTTGAAGTAAGGCTTCGCGCTTTTGGGGGTCAACATAAAAATGGGGTTGGTCCAGATTCGAATGAATATGATATTACACTATGCCTAGTTGATGTTTCAGAATTTTCATATCAATATCCACTATTTCCTGCTGCTTGGTATTACAAGATTCAAAGAATATTCAAGAGTTTTCAAGAATTTGCAAAAATTTTAGCATTTTTAAGGCCTTGTGAACAAGCTTTTCAAATTCAAAGGTTTTCAAGGATTTCACGAGCCCGCATAAACCCTGCTAATGGTTTTTGCCATCACCGGCATGTGCAGTATATGTATATGTATCTGTATGTATTTATAAAAGACATGAAAAAAAAATGGCAATTCAAAAAAATTTTTCTGACACGCACAATTGAATGAGGGACCTCTCGCTCAGCAGCGCTGCATCAACCGCAGGTCCATTAAGGTGCACGTCCTTTAACGTTCAAACGGCCATGTATTTATATACACAAAATACTGCTGGCAGTTTTGGATCAAGGAGGAAATATCAGCATGTTCTCAGTATTATCAGCAAAATGATGCAAAAGGTGTGCTTGGCACCCTGCTCGTGATGGCGCAGGAACACATGCGCTCATTCCCCGCACATACTTTTTGTTGTGGGGGATAGATGTCAGTGCGCGCGCATTTATCTCGCGGTGGGGGTGAGGGGTACTTCTTGTGCTTTCACCAGAACGACTGTGTTCTAGTTACTGAGCGCATGAAGGTTACTTCGCATTAGTGAAAGAGCACATTTTTCAAACTCAGCGGAGTAACAATGTGACACTTGTTAGCTCACACTCATCCAATCTGTACCTGCGAGTACGTTGCGGGCGTCGTTTTCTTTGAGCTGAACCTTAAATTTCGAGCTGTGAATGTTCTTATTTCGCTCTCATCGTGTGTGTGTTGCTTTCGTGCATTGTATGTGTGTGAGCAGCACTGTACATTTTGATCTGCTTGCCATTCTCCGCATGACATTTTCCATTTTTTTCTATTGCATTCATTACTTCGCCCTTATCACGAAAATGTGACATTTTTGTAGGAACCTAATGCAGTCTATTCCTCTGCTGGTGTGTATTTGCTGCACCGATATCCATAAGTTGGCAAAGCTTGTGGATCTCACTCACACTCATTCATGAAATATATTTCGAGCATTGGACTCACTCGGACTCAGACTGACGAAAAGTTGCCTGATCCGGACTCACTTGGAACCACATTCATCAAAGTTTTCTTCAGCCAGACTCACTCAGACTTATACTCACAGCTTGATCTGAGTGAGTTCGAGTGAGTGGACTCATGAGTCCATCAGCCAAAAATTAGCTTCTAAGACTGTGGTGTCAATGCTCTTTAACAACAGTATCTCTCGTAATCGGTGCTCTTCTTGGTGCCGTTTGACATTGTATCTTCAAAAACGAGTTCCAAGTGCCTTCACACCAGTAAGCTAATATTTCTTGGAAGAAATGACAGCAAAATATATAATAATAAAGAAATTCTGTGGAGTAGTTGATGGGGGGGAGGATAATTCACACTTCTAATTAATAAATATTGAATTGATGTATTAACGACAGAATGACACTGTTTTGAATGCCTGTGAGCAGACGTGAGCATAAATGTGAATTCAGGTAAGACGGACAGTAATGCTAAAGATGACACGATAGGATCTTATGAGGGCAAAAAAAAGTGTAACTTGCTCAGACTCCCTCAAGCACTATATTTTGCACTTTGGACTGACTCGGACCCACACTCACCATAATTTTTCTGGGCCAAACTGACTCGGACTCACGAAAATTTTCTTGAATCCGACTCACTCGGGCTCACAAAGTTATTACTCACCTGGTTTGACACTCACGGCTGGATGTGAGTCGACTCATGAGTGATTTCACCGACCTATGCTAATATGTTTAGGCTGTGTTCCAATACTCATCGTAGATGGCTAAATAGAGAGCTAAATGGACGGCGGCCATCTTAAGTCCTATTTTAATTCTCACGTAGCCGGCAAAATAGACAGTTCCGAGAAGACCGCATCGTAGACAAATACGGTGCAGGCTACTTTGCCGTCTAAACAAGATGGCGGCTCATTGAATCGCTCAGATAGATCGGATATCGCCGGAATGGTCATCTGCACTCAAGCTGACGCTTTCCCAGATGCTCAATGTGAGTAACGTTTATTTGTTTTCGATTTCAACATGAAATAAGCCAGAAAGTACAACTGTTACGTTTGTTTATTTTAGCTTTTCTTTCTCGACGCGAGGTAGTGCAATGTTGCGTGAAAGCAGTCTAAATGTGTTCCATTTCTCGGACAGCATGGGCTCGAAGCTGTCTTCTAAGCAGTCATCCTAGACTGTCTATGTGCTGTCTGAGAATTGAAACACAGCCATAGATCCTTTTATTGTATACTGGAATACGGTCCACAGTAAGATTTTCTAGCACAGGTGAGACACACCAGTGAGCAGGCATGCATCCTCAAGCACCTCCTTGTTGCTGCTGACACCAGCATCCATCTTTCAATAACTGTTCTGCAAAGGGGTCAAAGTGAATTGATTTGTGACATCACAAACCGTGGCAATTGGAGCAGATCTCAGCACTGTGTCATCAATTTGCAGAGAAGACTCAGGCTGGCTTTGTTAGGCTCTAAATTACAGGGCAGCCCTGTAGCCAGGAATGTTTTGCAGGGAGGGAGGCCCTTGTTGAAGGTCTTGAAAAACACCAATTTTTATTCTTTGTCCTGAGTACATCCTACTCCATCTAAATTTTGCGAAGGGGGAGTGCGGGCAGGTCCCAACCCTTAGCACCCTCCTAGCCTGCCCTCAGGTGAGCACGCTATGCTGAATTCGTGTCTCCAAATTCTGATCAAGACATGAGAAATTCAGACATGACAAACTCCTTTGTAAAGCTACAGCCTGTTTTCAATTGAGGATTGTTCCACAGATCAATACGATCACTCAAAATCTAAGAAAAGAACATAGTTCCATTCACAGGAAGTGCCCTGCCTCGCCCTTCATTTGCGTAAGGGAGCAGTACCATGAGCTTCGTTCAAAGCAAATGTATTTTTTATACAGTACTAATTTAAATGCTCTGCACATTGGAACAGTGTCTTTTTTGACTAAGATAATATTTTTGGCTAAGTGGTGATGTCAGAATGTTTGATAACATTTGCAACAACAATTAAAATGTTCTATTTAAAGCCAGCAACAACAACGTGCATTGCTATGGTCAAATTCGATTGCCTGCAATCAGTAGAAATATTTAACATTGTAAAGAATAGCAAATGCTATGGCATCAAGCATGCGTGCAAATATTTTTGCATAGGATGGCAATTGCTGTGGGCAGAACTTATAAATTTTTTAAACGTTGAAATAATCTACGGTTATATATAATGCTAACTGCACTTGAACTACTGTATTTACTTGCATAATCTTTGCATTTACATAATTCCCGCACCCCCCACATTGGCCAACAAAAATAAGATTTTTTTTGCGAGTAATTTTCGCAACCCGGAAAATTGCAGCCCTAATGTCGTCTGCTCCTTCCAACCACTGATGATGATAGCACACGACAGCCAGGTGCCATCTCTTATGCGTTTTGTGTAGTATTAATGCACGAAGGCTCCATCCAAGCTAAGCCAAGCCAAAGTGACAAGTGTGCATTGCAGCGTATTAGTGCACTCTATGCTTGTTATGCGGTTATGCGATGGGCCGATACGGGACCTACACTGTTGCTTTTAAGTTGAAAGTGATTGATCATGCGCTAAAGAATGGCAACAGGGCCGCTAGTAGGTACTTTTGAGTCAACGAGTTTTGTGTTCGCTACTGGCGACGAAAGCACAAGCAACTGAAAGCCACCAAGATGTGCTGGGTCTTCCGTGCGCCTCAGACTGGGATGGATTCTAAAACTATTTCGTCGGAAGGTAACTGCGGACGATTCTGTGTTGGATGTCCATCATACCGAGGTTGATGTCATACGCTAATCTTTTGCTGGCTTTGGTTGAGTGACGAACGCTAATGCTATGCCCGCAACGCCTTCAAGCTTTGCGTGGTATTCCAAACTCGGTACTATTTGCTTGCCGCTTTTGTGTCACAAATAAATCTTGCCTTGTGTTAAACCTGTGGTTTTATTGTTAAGGTAAGTCTTGACTGGTACTTCTCAAAACTTGTAATTAGTTGCTAGTGTGAGAATCCCGATTTGCGGCCATTTCGTTTTTTTCTCGCTCCGTATGTGTTTGCGTAAAATTTCGCTCGTGTAATTCTCGCACCTCCAACTTTTCATCAGTTTTCTGCGAAAAAAAAGTGCAAGAAATATGTGAGTAAATACGGTAATTTATTTTTTGTGCCTATGTACACTTCGTGGCCAGTAAAAGCTTACAGGCATTACCCTAAATAAAACCAACAAAAGGCACTGGCCCACAATTTTCTTTTCAGTTATTGGGTTTTGTCACAAGACTAGGGGGAGTAGTCTACATGCTTCACAGGTTGCAGTAAGCGAGGCGAGAGAAGACACTGTCGCACCTTTCACGGAGTCTACCTTCTCGGGGGTGAGTGGCGGCCTCGCTTCGGCCCGCGTGCCTTGAGGTGTGCGTGACCTGTTAGCTGTTCCGGTGACGCTACGCTCCGACAGCTCCTTGTTCGTCCAGAAGAGCGAAGCAGCGATGGAGCAGAACCTGATGTCTGTAGGAGCATTGAACAGTAGCTGCCAGTCCCGCTTCTTGACCCAGACATTCTCGCCTGCATAGATCTATGGAGAAGCAGATGCATTGAAGGTGTCAGTCATAATTATCAATAACGTGTAGTTCTGTATGGTATGATGCTATAATGACTCCAGCACACCTTAAATGCCAAGCACGTTTATGAATGGCACAAGGATAAGTGCAATAAAAGTAAAGCTGTAAGTGAAGGCAGAATGTACGATTATTAGGCTTGTGCAAATATTCGAATACAGTCGAGCCCGCTTATAACCTGAATGTGACACGGAATCCGTTTGCTATATCTTGAAGTTCGTAGTAAATGAAACTCAGCTTTTAAAAAAAGTTGCGAGTGAAAACACAAATCCTTTTTTGTCTCAAAAAGTCCGTGATGCTCGTGTATCGAAGAGCAGAAGCGATAAGGGTGGTCTCGAGTTCATTTAAAACGACAGGGTGCTCGTTCGCCGAGGCCCATGGCATAAGCTGCATGAGGCACTGGTTCCAAAGTTTTGTCGTTCTCGCAATCAGATTCCTCCAAATCGCTCTCGCCACGTACTTCATTCACAATGCCCCGATTCGTGCACGATTCCGCAGTGTCGGCATCATCATCGGCTGTAATTAAACCATCGCAACAGATGTCCTATCCGCTTTCCCACGTTGTAGTCAACGACGCGCTACCACGAATCGTTGCCGCAGTGGTCTTGTTCGGAAGCTTCAGACTCGGCACCGGGCCCGACGTCGACGAAGTGGGCCTCGTGAAAACAGTTTCGCACGCATGTAGCCATCCCTGCCGCCCACGAAATACTCACCATCTCCACAGCTGAATACCAGGACGCCCAAAGCGGCAAGATGGCTGCCAGGTGGTCAACAGCTATGAGCAAGCGCGCAGTAATGCTGCAACAAACTTCTTGTTCTTCTCTCGCAAGTCTGCTCTCCTCTCTTGATAACAACCCCTTCGCCCGTCTCCACTGCTCCGCGACGCCCGCCACGCCGGCTCGAATTAGTTTTGTTTTCTGACTGGAAACGGGCCCAGAGCTATTTCACGCATTCTGGCATGGTGTTGCGTGTGCGCGTCTTGCTCGCTCTTGGGGTGCATGTGTGGTCATGATGGCCAACAGGAGGACTAGCACGCTTCTTTCTGTCGCTCAACAAAACGTCGAAAGTGTGACCACTCAAGCTAAACGGTCACACTTTTTGCCGCCTCAAACAAAAAAATGGGAGTACATCACGTGGGAACTGTCGATGAGTGCATTTTGCTAGGATCAAGACGTTATCTTGCATAAAGAAATGACCGATCAAGCCATCATCAGTAGTGTGTGTGAGGCAGGTAATCCTAATGATTTAAAAACAGAACAGCCAAAGAAAAGTACGACACTGCAGGATGTCTTGAATGCCCTCGATGCAATTAGCTCGTTTTTGGCGAGCACAATGGTGACGTAGTGGTAGACCACTTTTTACAATGCGAGTCATAAGCTATGAAAGTGTTGCAGAGAAAGGCTCAGCAAAGCAAGCTTAGTATTGACTTATGACAATAAAGTGTGTTTTTAGTCAATTTCCTGTTCTTTCTGCTACATTCTCGCACCAATTTAATTGCCACAAGACGAAATTTTTTTCGCTTTCTCTGCTGATTTCATTATTGCTGGTTTCAACAAAATGCTAATCCACATGTAAATGCCTGTAATGGTGGTTTCACTGCAGTGAAACGGTGCTAAGGTGCACAAGCACCTATTCAGTGCAAATAAGCTTGCATGTAACTTCCCTGTGAATGTGGTTTGACTGCAGTAGCGGGTGGCTAAACGGTAAAGACACCAATTCATGAGAAATGTGCACAGCCGCGAAGTCCTACTTCAAGGTTAAATGTACATATTATTCTCACACCAATTCATCATTTTTTAGGTTTAAAAGCTTGTTGCACTGGCTTCTATGCTCTAAATATAGTAAATTTGAAAATGTAACAAATGACAGATCAATTGGGCCATGACAAATATGCCAATTTTTCTGAATAATATGTAATTTCAAAGTCGATTTGAAACTGTACGACCAAAATCACTCTTCACTTCAAACCTAAAATTTACTATTCGCACAAGCCTAGTCAATATGAATATTCTAGACATTGACCGTTACGCTTAGCCCACAGCTTGTCTTGTTACTTCTTCCAGCCTCACTAGCATCCCACTACACCTAATGCTTGTAATGAGTAGCCAAGCCTGAACTTGTCATGACCAGAATTGAGCTCATGAATGTCACGGTTGTCCGCTTTTTGTAAAGGTGTTGCCATTAGAACACATGTCTATACCAGAAGGAAGCACTTGCTGAGGGCCACATTTGGGCATCCCTTGCACATTGCCATGGATGTCATCAAGCCGATTAATTTAAGCAAGCCAACTTCTTCAGCCTTGTCACTCAAAATCTTTCTAACCCTCTTTTTCTTTCGTTTTCTCTCTCTTGGATGAAGACAGCTGTAGTTTGGGTGCACTTGGAGGCAACCTAAAAGTATCATTCCTCTTCAATGAAGTACAACACACTTATTTGTGTTTATGTTCTAGTAACAGCTCGACAACTTCAGGAAGATACAAAAAGGACAGGAAAAATTTGTTTGTTGTTTTCCGCCCCTTGCAAGCTTTCTAAAGTGTGTGTACTAAACAGCAACAGGAATAGTCAATCTTGCACCATTCATCACGAGAATAGGTTACTGAATGCCAATCCGATGTCGTGTATGAGATATTGTTGACATGTGGAAAAGTAAACGTAGGACAAACGGGGCAATGCTTCAATGATCGGGCAAGACAGCATGCGTTAAATGTTAAGAATGGCTATGGTAGTCTCGTGGCCGTACACTTTAAAGAATGTAAGTGAAGTCCTACGTTTCATAAAGCACAGTTTTTTAAAAAAGCAAGAACAAAAAATGAAAACGAAAGAGAAATTTTAGAAGCATTTTTTATCAGGAAGGCCAAGGATCAATGCATCAGTACACCTTCACTTATCGTTTCCGAAAGAGAGTATTCTTTTTGCAGTTAAGATTATATTATCATGGTCACACATGTATTGTCATGCAAGAGCACTGTATTTTTTTTTGTACTCTGTATAAAAGCGGTCATAGCACCTTCAATAAAATTCAGTTCACAGTCAGCGCTCTTTCCCGTCCTTTTTGTCTCTTCCTGAAGTTGTCGCGCTGTTACTAGAACATAACCACGATGAAACAACTCGCCCAAATTAAGCTCTTGTTATTAGTGTTATGTGCGAGTGGGTGAAATGGATAGATGGATATAAATAGATAGATAGACAGACAGACACCAGAAGTACTTGATGATGATATGTGGAGTTTAGCGTCCCGAAACTACCATATGATTATGAGAGATGCCGTAGTAGAGGGCTCCGGAAATTTCGACCTCCTGGGGTTCTTTAAGGGGCACTCAAGTGTGAGCGCACAGGCCTACAGTATTATCTCCTCCATCGAAAATGCAGCCCCAACGACCAGAATTCCATCCCGCGACATGCGGGTCAGTAGCCAAGTACCTTAGCCACTAGACCACCGCAGCGGGGCAGAGAAGTGCTTGGAATTCGCAATGAAATGTTTCACATTTAGAAATTGCGCATGTCACCATAATGGTCAATAGTAAGCCAGCATTGCTGACTATACCACTGCCATATAAAAAAGTTAATCACTAACTGCTACTGATGAGAAAACGTTATAGTAAATATGTGGGGAATCGTATGCAGCCCACAATGCAGCACCACTTGCCACCCATCGCACACTCATCCATGTGGAACTGAAAATTGCATGCCCAACCAGTGAAGCACTGACCATGAACACACATGATCAACTGCTGATGAGCAGACACCGTAGTGGCACACTGGTTCCTTCACTTGCGTCGCTTTGCTCTGAGTGATGCCACGTATGCAATGTTGCCAACGATTGTGGGAAGCCAGGCGAATGATTTGAGAGAATCAAATGAAATCCACCTGTAAACAATCTGTGCATTTGTCAAGCCTGCAGTTTGGCATAAATGATGGAAACGTGCAAATGAACGTACCCAGCCAATTTCACTGCGATTCAATGAAGTCGAGAAATTGCCGGGGTTGGCTTTTAAACCACCCACTATTCGGCAATTTGCATCGAGTGATGCCAAGCTATACTGAATCAGGTAACGCAATTCCTTGCTTGAAATGAAACTTTCATAGGGCCTATTTGCAAAGCTTCAAGCAGTGCTGCGGCTCTGTGGTAGATTACTCGACTGCCATATACAGCAAGAAGGTTGAAATCCCACTTGAACGCCCCCACCCCCTTTTTTTTTTCAGTTGGGCATGATAGCTATTACAAACACCAGTGGCGGCTGGCAGTAAACAACTATGTCACCAAAATCGGCTGCTGTGATTTCATAACAGCTTTCACTGAGAAAATACTACCACATTGTTTCCTAATGAAGTTTCTGGGCAGTAAGCTGAGTGCATGTGGCATTCTTTGTTTTCGCTGTTTTGTGTTGTTTAGTAGCAAATTCACGACACCTGGGTTGACCACTAAGTTAGCTCTTTAAATTTTAAACAGGCTACCCTAACTCAATAGATCCAATTACCTTTCCATCCTCTCTGGCAGATCCTATCTCGGGAGTTTCGATGTCATCTTTCATGCAAGGATATTCTACGCGCTCATGCTCCATGTCTTGCTCACCCATGCTGCTAAGATCAACAGACTCGAGCTCACCTGGAAAGACAAAGCCCGAATGAATAGAAATTCATTATAAGTGACAAGTCAGGTAAAAAAAGACAAGTTGCAGTTTTTTGCAACAGCAAAGGAATGAGTGCAATGGCAACAAATTGGAAGCAATATGAATCACCTCAAACACAACCGTACTGCAATGAAGCCATGTCTACATGACGAGAAAGACTAGGTAGTCACGACAAGCGGTGTTTGGAATGGTGGAAAAGTTCGTGGCCGGCATTTTAACCGTGAGCATGAGTAGTTTAGCTCACAAAGCATAAGGCGGTTTGCACATAATGTCACACGTCTCTCCATACTGGCACTCCAATGTTTCATATCCACTGCCCCGAAATGCTATGGCGCGTGTGTAATAACCTACAGCCGGGCCATCATGCTTCAATGCCACCAAGATGTAATTGTGTGGCTTCTGGTGAACTTGTAGAAGAATCACTGTGCCCGGACAAAACAGGATGCAGTCTGCGTTTAGGTAATGTGCCTGCTGCAAATCTTTATTATTCAGCTACGCACCAGAGCAATGTCCCACCGGCACTTCATTCCAGATCAAGATCCAGTGCCTACATATATGGCATGGCCGATGAACGATTCTGCAGCGTGAGCAGTCTGTTTTTTCAATCAAGGAAACTCCCTAGCAGACACTGCCAGCATCGGCGTTGTACTTCGCCAGCAAGGGCGCGCTGTCATTCCTTGCAAGCTGCTAGTTTATCGCTCCTCTCAGTAACTCAGCATAACTCAGCGGAAACTAGTGATTATCTTAGTGTTGTTCATCATTAGAACCTAAAGCAGTTAGTAACAAAGCCAACGCAGACAAGTGCTTCGAATGAACGCCCCACTTTCTGCTCACACTATCATCTTATCCCTCTTGACATGTGCACCATTGTGTACTTATACGTCCTTCTAATGCGAGAATAAACCAGTTGTTAGTTGAGTGCTCGTGCTGTATGCCTCCTCTTTGCTTCGTATCTGTGTCACTCCCACGCTCCCAGTTCGCTGAACAATCATGGATTACCAACTAGCCCACCTTTCCATCCTATTGCAAGAAATTGCAAATTACCGACCTATATCGGTACTTCTGATTCTGTCAAAAGTTTTTGAAAGTGCTATTAATATTAGATTACAAACATTTTTTGCGTAGTACAATGTCATAAGTGATGCTCAATTTGGCTTTCAAAAATACAAATCTACCGAGCTTGCATTACTGAATATAAATAATGAGATACCAAGCAATTTTGAAAAAGAACAAAATACGCTCGTACTTTTGTTGATTTTCGTAAAGCGTTCGACACCGTGCACCACAATGTTCTTTTAGAACAACCTAATAACTATGGTGTGTGTGGTGTTGATAATAAATTACTTCGGATCTACTTAACAGAGCGCTATCAGTATGTTGCTATCAATCAAGAGACATCTACGCGTGCCAATATTAACAACAGTGTGCCACAAGGATCGATACTTGGCCCTCTCTTGTTTATAGTTTATGTTAACGACTTATGTGATATTCCGGGTTCTCCTAAATTAATCAGGTATGCTGACGACCCTAATATTTTCTTTGCTGGTTACTCCATCCCTGAACTTCAATGTAAACAACACAAATTTAGATTTACTCGCATTTAGCCGCAACTTGTTTAGTTTAAAAAAGCAAGATAACTTATTCAAATATGTGTTGACATGAACACATATTTGAATAAGTTGTCTTGCTGGCTTAAACTAAACAAGTTGCGGCTAAATGCGAGTAAAACTAAATTTGTGTTGTTTGCGCCTATCAACAAGCCACGAAACATAAGTATAAATGTCTCCTTTGAGGGCCAGCCTTTAGAACAAGTAAGAGTACAAAAATTCTTAGGCGTGTGGTTCCAGGAAGACCTTTCTTGGAATGAACGCATAAATAAACTAGTAGCAGACCTAAGTAGAAGCGTTAGATGTATGTACAGACTGTTTCCTTTATTACCCCTTTGGCTAAAGAAAGCATTCTACACTCTTCTACTCCAGGCTAAGTTATTGTGTCGTGTTGGGGAACAACGACAGCACAGAACTATAAGACGTTACTCAGGTTACAGAAAAAAGCACTACGACTAATTGAAGGATACTACCATCACCCACAAAATTTCAGCACACATCCGTTATTTTCCAAATATTTCTTATTACAAGCAAACCAAATATATTACTACAAGCTACTCTTGTACATAAAAAAAATAACAAACTATACCCCATGTTTGATTCTTCTCGGTGTGTTCAGTACTCTCTCCGTACACCTGGCATAAGAACGCCGAGAACAAGGACCACCTGTGGTCAGCAACATACTAACTATCAAATACCCAGTCTTCTCAACAAACTTGAAAATGTTGTTGACCTAAATAAAAAAATTCACAAAATACATTCATGAAAATTCTACTTCATAACTGCATTGAATATGTGTAATATATTATTTCGATTAGTTATTACATTATGTGTACGAATTGTTAACTGTATAGTTTCAATGCTCTTGTTTGCTTTTGATGGTGTGATGCTTTTTGGCACAAGGGCCAATTGATGGCCGAAGAGCGCCATTTCAGAGACATAAGATGTGAACAATGATATGGTGCGTGGCTGTATAGTGGCCTTAAAATTCCTCACGCTAACGCGGGTAAAAACATAAGTATTAAAATCATGACAGTGGCGTGAAATATGTGCAGTGAGAGTGAATGTCAAAAGGTCATGATAATAAGACAATGGCGGAGATGTAGTCACCACAGGTCCTGCTACAGATCACCTTGAAATGTGCAGTGAAAACTATGTACAACATTTAGGAACATAAACAATGAGTGAATTTCAGAAACCGAATCCTTACCGATAAGCATCCCAGGGTGTAGTAGGAGCTGCTGTCGGTAGGGCAGTAAAAAGTGCTTTTTCCTTAGAGCGTCCAACTCATTACACTGGACGAGGATGTGGAGAACCGTAAGTGGTTCTCCACATCTCGCACAAAATGGTGGATCACCGGCAGACAGAATATATGAATGTGTAGAGTATGTATGTCCTATTCTTAGCCTTGTAAGTGTTACTTCTGTGTGTCGCGATTTTGATAGCGGCGGCCAATGACCAAGTTGTGGCTTAATAACATGTAGTTTATTACTTGTGTGTCTGTTCCGCATGTTTTGCCAATAACCTCTGAGCTTTCGTTTCAGGAAAGGTTTCATGTCAAGTGCCGGGATTGGTATAGATGCATTAGCGGTATCGTTGCTGGCGGATGCAGCCAGCTGATCTGCCAAAACGTTTTCCTGTATATCTCGGCGCCCAGCAGACTACAACATGCTGTTTGGATGAGTAGACTGTGCATAAGAGTGAATAAAGGGACTCAAGAACTGGGTTTTTGCATTTTGTAAGTGTTTTCAAGGCTTTCACCCCATTCAGAGAATCCGTGTAAATTACCGCTTTTTGTAGTTTTATATGTGCAATGTGTTTAACAGCTGCAAGTATTGCGTAGGCTTCTCCTGTAAAAATTCTGGCATCAGGATGCAGGATGCCAGTATCTGAGAAGGATGGGCCAATGGCTGCGTATGAAACAGAAGTGTTGGACTTTGATGCATCTGTAAAGAACTCAGGGCATGTGTACTTTTGTTGTAGTTCTAGGAAGTATGCGCGGATATGTGCAATGGGTGCATGCTTTGTAATCTCTAAAAAAGACACATCACAATCTATCAATTGCCACCGCCATGGTGGCCGACATGCTGCGGGAGCCATCAAACGATATTCGACCGACACACCGGTTTCCTCAAAAAGGCCCCACACACGTAGTGAATACGGTTGTCTCAGAGATGGACGGTCTTCAAACAGAACAGAAGTAGACATGTCATCAATTGTGAAATGTGAAGGGTGGTCCTGGTCTGCCTTCACTTTGAGATAATACAGAAAAGACATGTAACATCGCTGTAGGTGGAGTGACCATTCGTTCGATTTCACGTACAGGCTTTCAACAGCGCTAGTGCGCAAGGCACCCGTAGAGAGGCGAATGCCTAGGTGGTGAATATGGTCAAGGATCTTTAGGGCGGTGGGTGTCGCAGACTGATAGATTACTGCTCCATAATCCAAGCAAGTGCATACGAGGCTCCTGTACAAGTTCATGAGACACTCTTTGTCACTCCTCCACGTAGTGCGTGACAGCACTTTTAGAACATTCATGGTTCTGATGCACTTGTTTTTTAGATACTTTATGTGTGGTACGAAGGTTGGCTTGGTGTCCAGAATCAGGCCTAAGAATTTGTATTCGGCATTAACAGACAGGCGTTGACCATGCAACTGAATGTCAGGGTCAGGGCGAGTGCCTCTCTTTCTAGAGAACAAGACACACATGCTTTTTTGGGGGTGTAATCGGAATCCGTTTTCCTCAGCCCATTTGGAGACCTTGTTCAAGCCAAGCTGAACCTGCCGCTCACAAATTGTCAGGTTACAAGACTTAAATCCAAGCTGGACGTCATCAACATATGTACAGTAAAACATATTTTGTGGGATAGAAAGACGCAAAGAATTCATTTTGACAACAAAGAGAGTACATCTAAGTACACCACCTTGCGGTACTCCTATTTCTTGGACAAATGTTCGGGAAAGAATGCTGCCCGCTCTGACAGAGAATGTACGATTGGACAAGTAGCTTTAGATAATAGTAAACATCCTGCCAGGCACACCAAGATTAAACAGATCTCTTAATATTCCGAATCTCCATGTCGTATCGTAGGCTTTTTCGATATCGAGGAACACAGAAAGAAATGATTGTTTGTGGACAACAGCGTCTCGGATCTGTGCCTCGATACGTACCAGGTGGTTGGTGGTGGATCTACCCTCTCAAAACCCGCATTGGAATGGGTCGAGCAGGTTGTTTGTTTCAAGGTAATGTACAAGTCGGCGATTTATCATTTTTCAAATAGTTTACACATGCAACTTGTAGCGATTGGCCTGTAACTACTAACAGTAGATGGATCCTTGCTTTGCTTTAAAATCAGCATAATAATGGCTTCTTTCCAGACAGAAGGGATTTCACCAGAAAACCAAATAGCGTTATACAGGGAAAGCAGGGTTCTTTGCGTTTCAGGAGGCAGTTGTTTTAATATTTCGTATACTATACGGTCCGAACCTGGAGCTGATTTATTCCAGACATATAGCGATGCTTGTAACTCGGCCAAACAGAAAGGGTTGTTGTACGACTCATGTTTAGAGAATTTTTGCTGTAGTTTCTTTTTTTCGATTTTTCTTTTGTGTCGTTAAAAAGCTGCAGTATAATGCGAAGAGCTGGACACCTCTTCGAAGTGGCACCGAGGAAGTTCGCCTGGTCTTCCAAGGTGTCCCCTTGTGCGTCTACGAGAGGTAGTGAAGATGCGTGTCGTCCTGCTACCTTGTAAACCATGTTCCAGACTTTAGTTTCTTGTGTATATGAAGTGATACCTGATAAAAACTTATGCCAACTTTCTCTCCTAGCCTACCGGCGCGTTCTCCTGCCTTGGGACTTAATTTTCTTAAAGCTTTCAAGATTATCTGTTGTCGGCGAGTCCCGTAGCAACCTCCATGCTTTGTTTTGTTGTTTGCGTGCATTCAGAGTTCCACCATGGGACACTTCGCTTGCCAGGCAGTCCAGAAGTTTGCGGGGTGCATTTCATCGCAGCGTTGGTCATAAAAGCTGAAAAGTGTTGTACCTATGTTTGTGTTGCATCTATGTTTAAACTAGATATGTCAGTCCAACTTAAGTGAGTAATCTGCGAGAACGGTTCCAAATCAGCTTTGTCAGTGATCCATCTGGGGACCTGTGGGCGATATTCATTTGATATGGGTGTGCGTAGCATTACAGGAAAGTGGTCACTTCCGTAAGGATTACTGATGACGTTTCATGTCAGTAAAGGAAGGAGGAATCGAGAGACAATACTGAGGTCTATGGACGAGTAGGTATTGTTGGCGAGGCAGTAGTATGTGGGCTCTTTCCGATTTAAAGACACACGCCAGAAGTAAAAAGGAACCATTCAATCAAGCGACCTCGAGCATCGCAGCGAGAGTCACCCAATAGATTGTTATGTGCATTGAAATCTCCAAGGAGAATATAAGGTTCTGGAAGTTCGTCTATGAGGAATTCATGCTTTTCAAGACGGTGTTGTTGAGGTATGTATAGAGAGCAGATGGTGACGAGCTTATTTAAAAGAACTGCTCGAACAGCCACTGCCTCAAGGGATGTTTGTTGTGGTAGGTGTGTGCATGCGATCCCTTGATTGACTATAATGGCAACATTACCGGATGGCACAATGGCATCATTCCGGTCCTTTCGAACGATAACGTAATTGCGTGGAAAGTTAGTGTGTTTCAGTTTCAAGTGTGTTTCTTGCACACACAGCACTTTTGGTGTATGTTCGTGTAAGAGCTCCTGGATATCGTTGAGGTTTCTCAGCAGTTCGCTGACATTCCACGGTAGTATTTGTGTCATTTTAGTCTTGTGTGGTGCTGTGTGTACAAAAGTGTTGCCTTAGGTTACAGGGCCATTTGGGGGCCCTGTATTTTGGTTTTTTTCTTTTTTGGCGCGCTCCAAAGAGTTGCGCCTATCCTTCTTGTATCCATCACCTCTTTTGAGCTGGCGGATGGTGCCTGCTCGGCAGGCATGGTCACAGAACTTTCGGACCTAACTGCGCTTGCAGTGGTCCGAGGTTCAGCAGACACAGGGGTCTGCTGGCCCTGTTTGTCAGGTGGTGGAGCAGTACAGGCTGCTCCAGCCGGGGGCACTGGTGGGACGACCGCGGCGCCCCGGCGCGTCACATCTGCGAAGGAGGGATAAGATGGGTTGTGTAGTGCGAGACGTTGACGTGCTTCTAGGAATGACACTGAATTTCACCTTAAGTTCTACTATTTGTTTCTCTTTTTTCTATGTGGGGCATGATCGTGAGAAAGCAGCGTGGTCTCCTTCACAATTCGAACAATGAGTTGTTTCCGAGGTGCAGTTTTCTGATATGTGTTGGACGGATGCACACTTTGTGCAAGTGGCACGTCCTCTGCAACTCTGCGATCCATGCCCGAAATGCTGACACTTAAAACAACGACGAGGGTTGGGAATGTATGGTCTTACACGGAGCTTACAATAGCCGGATTCGTTTGATTCTGGTAGGTCACTTGTTCCGAAGGTAATTATTACGTGTTTTGTAGGGGTCAGTTTGTTGTTGCGACTTATTGTTATTTGTAGGACTTTGACCACGTTCTGGTCCTGCTAACCTTCGAGCAGCTCACTTTCAGAAAGCTCAGTAAGATCATCATCGGAAACTACGCCACGGACAGTGTTCATAGACCTGTATGGGTCCACCGAAACAGGGGTTTCCCCAAAGGCTACAAGTTTAGACAGCTTCGTATACTGAGCTTTGTCAGGAACCTCCATAAGAAGATCGCCACTTCCCATCTTTGTCACTTGATAGCTTGGGCCTATTGCTTCCGTGAGAGTTTTCGACACAAGGAAAGGGGAAATCGCTCGGACTGTCTTCTTTTCGTTCTGGCTGTGGATAACACGGTACTTTGGAAATATCGGCTTTGGTGTGTTAAACAAGAAAGTGTCTTCAGTGTGCCACCTTTTCAGGGAGCGATCAGGAAGGGGGGGGGGAAAAGCTTTCGCCATAAAATACTATGAATTTCGGCGGCGATGGGTGCACCCACCACCGAGCCCAACATGTGGACGTTACAAGGTTGAAAGCGAACACTTGTAGACGCCAGCCATACATCACCGCTATAACCTGTTATAATTATCCTAAGCTGGGTAGGTACACCAGGTTAACCCTCGCCGGCAGGAAATTTGGAAGTAAAACGGAAGAGAGAAGATGACAGGACAAATAAAAAGCGAGAGATAAAGACGAAGATGTAGGAAGAGAGAGATAGGAAAAGGCGACTGCCGATTTCCCCTGGGTGGGTCAGCCGAGGGGTGCCGTCTACGTGAAGCCGGGGCCAAAGGGGTGTGTTGCCTCTGCCGAGGGGCCTTAAAGGTCCAATCACCCGGCGTCGGCTCAACCCCCAGGATCCCCTTTTCCCTGGACACAGCTCAGCCACGCACGGCTAGGCGTGGGAGGGAGTCGAAACCCCTTCGTTAGCTCAGGTCCGTAATGTCGCTACACACCAAACGCCTACTTGTGCAGACACCCCTGCGGGGCTCTTGTTTGCTTTTGAAATTTATATGTCTGCAAATGTGTTTTTGATCTCATCTATTTTACATATTGTGATAATGACATTTTTCTTTACTGGTATTTTGTCTTGTTATGCATATTTATTTATTTATTTATTGTTCTGTTCTTTTCCAAATTGTAGCATTTATTTGTCTGATTATAATTTGCTGATTTGCTGATTGTTAGTCTTTGTGTAAAAAGTTTTTTTTTTTAATCTGCGTCTGAGCTATGTACCAGACTATATTTCTCAGCAAAAGCCTCCGTCAGGCTTCATAGCCTTTTGCTTTTGCTTCGTTTTTTCCTATGTACAGGAAAAAGAAATAAACCTCGAACCTCAACAATGTCTTTTTAGGAATTACATCCTGGATGATTTCACACTGTGCACAGGGTTTAAAAAATCATACGGTGACTGCAGGCGGCAATATTGCAGTCTCTGCGGCAACTAAACACAACGGCATGGCACACGTGAAATGGCTGTTAGTAGACAAGGTGTAACTCATACTTTTTTGTCTGACTACAGATGATAACAGTATCAGCAAGGTGTAGCAGAATTACATAACGTCTCTTGGCCAGCTCAAGCACCCAACACAACTAACCAAGCATTTTATTAAAATAAATGATTATTATTTATTCTTTATTCTGTTCTAAAAAGCAGCAAACTTTTTTATTTAAAGAAGTTATTCATATGAAGTGACTCACTCATAGAAAAGCACCCAACATAAGTTTACTAGGACCAAGTTTGACAGCATCTTGATAGCGTAAAAAATAAGAACTGTTTCATCCACGCACAGAAAAGCAATTCTCAATATACATACTTTCAGCAGAGGCACTATGCTCAGGATTGGCCTCTTCTTGTTTCACTGTAATGCCTGGGCAGAAATGTCACAGGAATCTGTTGAAGATATACATTTACCTGCAAAACTGACACAGCGCTAACAAGCCTTTCGTCATTTTTTCAAGTCCAACTAACGCACAATTCTGTCCGAGAGAATATCTTCTTGAATGAATACAACAGCTTCACAGATTTGCTGTGTTCACTTTGTGTGAGCTCCATATAAGTGAGGCTTTATGTGTAACACATGTGGAAGAGAGCAGCAAAAGGGAGGTAGCCTATTACGAGACATGCATTTGTAGTTAGTGAAAACTAAAAAAAAAATCATCGGTATAAGTCATTAAGCAAAGACCATCTAGGACCGCAAACTTGGAGATATCTGGACCTTGAATATGAACTGGCTGATTTCATGAGGCAGCTCTCAATAGATCACATGTCCACCCTTTGCTATTTGCTATAAAGCTATTTGAACTCTTTGAGTTATTCGAGTTTAAAGTTGTATTGTAAAGGCCTTTGAACTTTCCCGGCAGCAAGGCCTTGCAAAAGAAAGTGAATACAATGCTAGCTGGTATCAGATTATCTGGTTCATGCAAGTCGACTCTCCAGAGTGTGGTAGATGCTGCTGGAGGCTTTTAAAGGATCCCTGAAATGGTTTTTTGACATTTCATTTTTGCTAAAACTGGAGCAAATTAATGGCACACCATCATTCAGTCAAAACACTTTTTATTAAGGGAGCTATGAATGATATGAAGCTACTTCCTTCCTCCACTCTGTATTTACCCTCAACTTTTCCTTTGGGTGCTTGGGGCTAAGCAGCACCTTTAAGGAGCTATGCGTCATGATGCGACATGAGAGAACGCTTGCATGATGTTGCATTGCCCACTTCCACTAAGTCGAAGCCAGCACCATAGCCACCGATAGGTGAGCCACTGCCCATTGGCTCGGCTGATCACATAGAATTATTGTGCCGACTCTAGAGGAAAAGCTGGGCCGTGAGAGCGTTAACCAGAAAAATGCTGACATCTTGCAACGTTGTCACTGTTGCCATTCCATTACTTTGTCCCTGCATTGCTTCGAGACGTTGGCCATGTCGGCGACACTCGCCGCTGCTCAGACCTTGGGCTCGTACCAAGCTTCGCCAGCCAGCCCCCTTCCCAAGACTCTGTCCAGTGAGCTCGGCTCTCTCTTCGCCCCAGGCACTGAGTTTGCCAAGAGTTCATTACATCAAGACTCGACTTGAGGTGCTTCCTGTGACACCGAAACTTTGACGTCTTCCACTGACACTCCGACCTCAAGTTTCGGAAGGGCTCCATAGATTAGAAAAACTGGATGTCACCGAGTTCATTAATGCCTCTGAGTGGGAGTCAATGAAGGACGGTGACAATCGACTCTGTGTTGACCTTCGGGAACCTAACAAAGCTGTCATCGCTGATAGCTTGCAGCTTCCTCACACAGAAGAGCTCTTAAACGGCCTCATCAGTGTAACAATCTTCTCAAAGTTGGATCTTGTATTCGCCTACCACCAAGTTCTGCTGCACCACGAGAGTCGCGACTGGATGCATTCGCGACTGGACTGCATTCGTGACTCGCGACGGCCTGTTTGGTTTCAAGCATGTATGCTCTGGGCTGGCGTCTGCCCCTGCAACTTTCCAGCAGCTGATGTTGCAGACTCTCAAGGGATATTCTGGCGTATAGTTTTACATAGACAATATTACTATGTTGGGCTGCACCGAAGTAGAGCACTTGATGAATTGAGCCCCAGTTCTCCACCACATCAAGGCCGCTGGGCTCAAGCTTAACCACAAGTGCTCCTTTTGTGTCTAAGAATTGTCCTTCTTGAGACATACGGTCACAGCCCAAGGTATTTCACCACTGCCCGAATAAGTGAATTCAATACTGCACACCCCTGCTCCTACTGACGCTGCTGGTCTGCGTTCGTTTCTCGGCTTAGTCAAGTACTACACCAAGTTTGTTCCCGACTTGCTGAAGTTCTGGATCTGATGTATGCTCTGTTCCGCAAGAATCAAGTCTTTAGGTGGAGTGATGTTGTGGACCCTTTTTCCGGAAGGTCAAGTTCTTGCCGTCATCCAGCTGAGTACTGCAAATGTTCGACCCCGCTTTTCCGGTGGTTGTCTCCACAAATGCGTCTGACTGCGGCCTCGGGGCTCTTTTTCAACAAGTGGATGGGGACAAGCTACGCGTCTGGGCATGAGAGCGTTGGCGCACATACCTTCGGAGATGGCACTTCATATTTCATACAGACCGCCAAGCCTTGGTTTTCCTTCTGTCACCTCATGGCTTAGGAAGACGTCCTCTTTATCCCCTTGCACTCTGGTCAGAGTGTCTTATGCGCTATAATTATATGGCAGAATACCGCAAAGGCTCTGAGAATCAAGTTGCAGATGCCCTGTGCCATCTTCCAGTGCCTGTTTTGCAGGAGGATGCCTCGGTCAACGAAGAGGTGGTGTCTCTCATTGCCCCACTGTGCCTCTACACAGAGCAGTTCCAGCAGTCTCTGCAGGAGGGTGCTACCTTGGAACAAGTAAAGGCTTCCGTCTCATCATCTTAGCCTCCCCAAAAGTTAGTCTCAGGTGCAGTACAGCCATTTTTTGTTGCATGTAAAAAACTGTCTGTGGTCGTCGACTTGTTTTTGCATGGAGAATGCCCATAGTTCCTCCATTCCTTGCCCCACAGGTTATCCTGTGGGTATTTCTTGCCCCACACGAAGCACACCCTGGGACAGTTCGCACCAAGGCATGACTCCAAGACAGATTTTGGTGGCCTGAAATGGACAGACAAGTGGGGCTTGCTATTCAAAATTGCGTAGTTTACCAGAATGCACTAACTTCGCTACACACTCTTTCCCTTCCAGAGCGGCCATGGCAGAAGGTCTCCATTGATATCGTTAATTTCATGAAAAGAGCACCACACAATTGCCGGTTCGTCATCACCTTCGTAGACTGCTCTTCCAAGTGGCTGAAAGTACAGTTCTGTAGCGATGTGTTGATGCAGACAGTGACAAGCTTTCTGCTTTCAGTATTTTCTCGAGAGGGCTGCCCTGACGAAGTTGTGTGTGACAACGGCCCTCAGTTTTGCTCCCGAGATTTCAAATAGTTCCTGAAGGATCGTGCCATACGCCTCTGTCACATCTTCATTGTACTGCTCCCCGGCAAATGACTTGTAGAACACTTCAACCGTGTGTTCAAAAACATCGTACATACAGCGTTGCTGGAATATCAGCCACTCCGCCCAGCGGTCATCGAGTACTTTGGCATCTACTGGTGCACACCACACGCGACAATGAGGGTCACCCCAGCTCCGTTGCTGCATAGAAGGCTGTTGAGAACACGTCTGGATGTCGTCAGATACCCAACCTCTTCTTTGTTCAAAGACCCAGCCATTAAGCTCGGTTTGATGTGTTGCAGGGTGAGAACAAAAGCAAGACAGCAGCAAGAAGCAAGCGCACTTTCATCGAGCCACAAAGATGACCAACATCACTGTTGGAGACTTTGTTCGAAAGAAGCAACCCTCTGTCACCTTCGAGAGTGACCCGTCGTTTGGCAGTCCTCATAAAGAGGTCAAACGACGAGGATCTCCCTCTTTTGACCGCGATGATGGCAAGACATAGAATGTATCTAAGCTTGCCAAAGTTCCTTCATATTCCTATGCCTTGCATTCACAGGAGACTTGAAACGTGCCAGAGGCTAGCATAACTGTGTAGCCATCACAGGGAAATCTGGAGCTACCAGCTGCCCGTGAGGCACCTCAAGTGGCGGCTGCAGCCATGCCTGTTTCTGCGACCACCCATGCGGCTCAGGATGCCAGCACGCCTGAAAAACAAGCAGGTAAGCCTCTTCCCGCTGGGGTGGCCAACCAACAACCAAGCTGCTTCAGGCCCGCGCCTTCCTGATCCACAACTTTCTCCGGCTCTGGTATGTGCTCAACCAACGAAGTCAGAACACCCTTTGAAACTTTACAATGACCATGTGCGATAAATAGTGGGTTTTCTCTTGTGCACTCCGTTTCTTTTTCTTCATTAAAGATTAGTGTTGTATATGAAGTATTCTCTGATAGTTGTTGTAACTTTTTCTTTTAACACACAAAGATATATATATATATATATATATATGGGAAAGAAGTGTATAGCTAAGGGCTCGTTTTTCCGTGTTTTAACACAATATCAATGAGATATAACAGACAGTAATGCCAAGGAATGTTATTAAAACCAATGGAATGTAAATAAGAAGAAAGAAAAGTGGATGAAAAAATTACCAACTGTGAGCAGGAATCGAACCTACGACCTTATATGTATATATATATATATATATATATATATATATATATATATATATATATATATATATATATATATATATATATATATTGTTCGGAGAAGCTGGTTGAAAACACGACCACATCATCCAAGTACACAAGGCAGCTTTGCCATTTTAAGTCAGTCAACACAGTGTCCATCATGCGTTGGAAGGTAGCTGGCGCAGAGCAGAGTCCGAACGGTAGCACCCGAAATTCGTAGAGGCCATCCGGCGTGACAAAGGCGGTTTTTTCGCGGTCGCGCTCATCAACCTCAATTTGCCAGTAGCCACTCTTTAAATCCAGGGAAGAAAAATACTTCGCTCGTCGTAGTCGGTCAAGCGAGTCATCAATACGCGGCAGCGGATAAACATCTTTTTTTGTGACGTTGTTGAGCTTTCTGTAATCCGCGAAAAAACCGCCTTTGTCACGCCGGATGGCCTCTACGAATTTCGGGTGCTACCGTTCGGACTCTGCTCTGCGCCAGCTACCTTCCAACGCATGATGGACACTGTGTTGACTGACTTAAAATGGCAAAGCTGCCTTGTGTACTTGGATGATGTGGTCGTGTTTTCAACCAGCTTCTCCGAACATCTGAAGCGACTACGACAAGTACTTGAGGCGATTCGGACGGCTAACCTTACGTTAAAGCCGCAAAAATGCCATTTCGGTTACGAAGAACTAAAGTTCCTTGGACATGTCGTAAGCGCAGAAGGCGTCCGTCCT